AGTTGGCCTCTTCCGACTATCGATTTATATTAAAGCAATGTGCGGCTGCATCCCAGCTTGACACCCTGGGTTATAAGGGTAACTTGCATTTTGGGACAAAAAGAGGTGATTTCCTATTCCACAGTGCTAACAAAAAAGCCCCTCTGCATTCACTGTAGTACTCCCATAAGCCATTCAACTTTGGGAATTTCACAAAAATATACTGCACGCTTCTCCTTAGTGACCTGGGTTTCCCAGAACAATTGTGCCATGTCAGGAGATGGGCTATCTGACTCAGACTGGTGTGAATGTGAATTTCACCAACTCATCCACCATTTCCAATCCAGCTAAAATTGTCAGACTAAAAAGCTTCGATGGGCGGATATTCCTATTCACACAACCAGGACTGTTAGTAGGCCGTCATTCGAGACGCTCGGCAAACCGATTACATCACACGATAGTAACCCGTACACGCGTTCTGACGTGATAATTCAAGGGCTTAAAGTCTGTACTGATAGCGCAGTAGCGAAACATTCCTCACCTATCAGACATCTGGGCTTCAAAGCACGGCAATTAAGATACACTGTCGATGAAATCTGGTAAGTGCTGGTTCAGAGCTTACCTTCTTTGGTGCAGAATACATTTGCCAGGTAGATTGGAAGACATAAAACAAAAATGATGTGAATACATGTTTTTACGGGGAGATGAAGGATTTCATCATACAGGCCAAAATTATTTTGCTCACTACACATATCTTCCATCCAGCTCTTGGTAACACAGACAGTTTAGATTGGCCGCGGTAGCTGTGTTAGATATACCAGTGACTGAGACAGGTTTAGTACATGAGGCCAGCCGTGAAGACAAAGCCGAATATCTGCGCTATGACAGCAAGGACAGAATCAACGGACACTTAAGTTGTGTCGCAGTTCGAACTGCGATCGGCCCACGTAGTTGATAATAGAGATCCATTTGAAGGGCATGTCGTGTTTACCATCTCAGTGGTCTGGTCATCTCCAAGAAGCCAGAGCTGAGCTATTTGGCTTCTGTTGTTGACCCATACAGAGTAAGCGACGGCTGCTGGTATTGAAATGTGGGGTGAATATACAGAAAGTGTTGGAGGACATTATCGTTTAATCAAGTAGCCTTTCCAATCTACTTGTCGGTATTGATGTATGGGACAATGAATGACAAGCTCATTGGATGCTGAAAAGTCCTCCTTGAAGTGGTTAGAATGAAACCATGAAACGCTTAATCATACTGTAGTTAGGCTTACCTGACACAATTTATTCCTAATTTCTGTAAAATTTCGAGAAAAAATTGTGATGTGTGTGGTCACTGGAAGACTGCTGTGCTGTTGTAAACAGCTCTGTATCAACATAAAAACTGTGCTTTTTGAACTGTTCTAAGTTTAAAAACACAAAGTAGCCAGATGGATCCTTTTAATAGGCCCCGTCAAAAACATTTTTGATTTTGTAACCCTTGTAAGAAGACGTATCTCGAGAAAAATGAACCTATTTTTGGAACTTTCTCCGTTTTATTTCACACACCCCTTTAATCTGCACGAAAAGTGAACATGATATTTCCCTCCGGCAGTTTGACCCACTGAAATTTTTTAATCAGTGTGAAACTTCCAGAACCTCAGATGCACTATGGTGGTCTTTCTCGCCTACTTTTGGGACGTGAATTTTTTCGACTTAAGAGAACCTGAGTGCACTAACTGATGCTCTGTCTCAGGTGCACTGTTTTGTCATCACATTTCATGCATGGCAAGTAATCACTCCAAAAGTTTTGCGCAAGCTTGCTGAAAGTTATATAAAATAGATTTGTAAGTGTCCACCCCGTGATGCCACTCGTCAGCCTTCAGAGAGTTAAGCACTCAGTCAACCCAGCTGCTAGTGGGTTATGTGGCGGAACACTTTATATGGATCTCAATATTTTCTGTAGATATTTTAGAATTATCTCGTGGAGGGGTCAATTATTTTTGGACTCAGTACTGTCTGAAAATTCCACAGAGTCCGTTGGTGTTGTTATACTAGAAAGGATCACCATTTTCAGCTATAGTTGTCGAATAACCTTCAGATCTCATTAGCCAGGTCAGGTCGAATAGCTGTACGCCATACTTGAGAATATTTCTCTTCCAGTCTGGTCTGCCTGTTGGGTCGGTCATTTCGGTTAGTATACTGTTACGAATTAGCTCGCTTCCATAGCCCGACTAATTTCGGTTACACACACCTAGCCAATCTAGATGAACGCATCTGTGCGTTGGAATGCGTTTTTTCTGCTGCCAACGAGCCTTTAAATATTGTCCTGCAACATTTTAATGGATATGTCACCCCTCAGGTGTTATGTGGTGTTTTTGCGTCTCCGTTGGTACTCGTTAGCATCGTGTATCTTATGGCAGGTCTTCACTCTGCTCAGAATGTGTGAGATGCCGTTACATGAACGTTCAGTCAACGCATGATCACGTGGTATGAAGTGTGTGACGGGAAGACGGTGATGCTACGCATTGTCTGAGTGCAAGCTATCCGCGCTGGTGATCAGTCACTTGTGGTCACACGGAAACGTGTTCGCCCGGAGGATAGCAGGTTTGAATGGTGTTAGAGATTCGTAAGATGAGCACTTCCGAATGTTTCCAGAAGAGGCAATGTTTTTCGACCATTCAGCGTATACTGGTGGTAGTTTGGATAGATTTTGTAATCTTCAATAGAGATCTCGCTCTACGAATGCTGAAATGCCAAGAAGCACCGTACAGCTGTTTCATGTTTGTTGGGAATCATCAGCGGTGCACGTCTCACGAAACTCAAGAAGTTCTGGACGCCCACTTTCTGGCCATCGGTAGAAACGTTAAACGTTGGGCACAAAGTGATTTACTTGCTGGATAGAATCTCAACTACGTATTTCACTAACCAGTTCACTGAGAACATCAGTGGTCAAAGCCGTGAACTTCACAGCTGTATAACGTCGGTCTACCACAGATAATCTAGATTCAACTTACGTCATGTGCTTTGTTTCACGCTGCCAGAATTAACAGCTCTACTAAGTTCATATTTAACAAATGCCTGTTCCTTTGAAATAAGATACACAAATTATATACCGACACTAACTGGATCCTTTCAGTTAAACATTCATTTCAAATTTGAACAGCCTTGAAGATATAGTTAGCTCATGCGTGTGTTTCTGGATGTCGTACTTGTGTTTGCTATGATCTATTCAATGGTTATATCAGAATGTTTTCAGCATGAATTGGCAGCAATATATATTCTCAACTACGTGCTTTTCTATTTTCTCGAAAGCCTTTGAAATCCCTCCTGAACAACATGGAGAGTCTGGATAAACTGGATCTCTTGACAGAGGTGTCTAAGCAACAGCTACAAATTGCCAGCCTGGAACAAGCAAAACTCGCGCTGGAGTCACAGCTACAGCGAATGCAGGTTCGGCAACGGTTTTTGGTGTCCTTTCTCAGCCTTCCTGTAATGTCAGTGTTTCTTCAAATATTCTTTTATTGCGAACTAAAATACAGATCACAGTTTTCTACCACATTCCGTATAGTTTAGTTGAAATAGACAAGCAAGAAGCCAAACATATTCATCGTCAGCTTAAAAAAGGCTTCACGAATACAATGCGTCACCTTTGCTGCTCTCTGTAGCCATATTACTCGTCCTTCATTGTTCTTCGACACAGTCAGCCAGAATAAATGCTTACGAGAGACCGGCTGAGTAGTTAGCAGCGATTCCAAGGAACCTACAGTGGCAGAATTTGAAGGAAGCGACTACTCAGAAGGAGCAGATGCACCAAACCGTCATGCGACTTGGCAGTTGCCCGTAATTTGCCCCACAATAATACCAAAGTCAATCTTCGAAGTAAACAAAAAATTGAAATCAAGACATTCAGTTTCATATTTGTCAATTTGTAGACGGCTTTTGCGCTCGTGTACAGGACTCAGTAGGGCTCAGTTAAGAAGCGAATCCACTGACTGGGAAGTCCGTGCTTCGAATTCAACCTCCGTATCTCAAATACCAATAATCAGACGCGGGTAAACTGGCAATATTTCAGCCCTCATACTTTTTTCGGCCAGACTGACAGATGGTTACTGGAAGAGTGTTACATCCCACAAATAGCACAACTTGATTGTGTGGAGTGCCAGACTGAATGTACTATTCTATTACTTGTGTTCTTTGATGCTTTCCTTCCTATAAAACGAAATGCTTCGACGGACCACTTCGTCCTCCCCGTGCTCATGCCAGGCATCGTTCACTAAAACCGAATTTCGCACTTCAGAGCCTTAAGTATACTTTGGCACGAAAAGCAAGTCCCTGCAAGACTGATCATCAATAAAGTAATCCTCTTAATAGCACAACTTGATTGTGTGGAGTGCCAGACTGAATGTACTATTCTATTACTTGTGTTCTTTGATGCTTTCCTCCCTATAAAACGAATTACTTCGACGAGCCACGTCGTCCTCCCCGTGCTCATGCCAGACATCAGATCATCGTACACTAAAACCGAACTTCGCAGTTCAAAGCCTTAAGTATACTTTGGCACGAAAACCAAGTCCCTGCAAGACTGATCATCAATGAAGTAATCCTCTTAGGATATTCATTTTAATGCCATCTTCCTCCGCAGTCATGTGGCTTTGTATGATAACTACAAGACTGTGCAAAGTTTTCCTTTCGAAAATATATTGCGATATCTTAAATATCGTACCAACTGAAACATGAGGCAGCTTTTGTGCAACACAGTGAGTTAAAGTATATCGAAGGGCTCTTTTCGCACAACCACGTGAAGTGAAGGAGGAGACAGAGGCGGTCAAACAATGACTTGGCAGAGAAGTATAAAAGCCATTACCAGCAAACTCAGTTGCACTGGTCATTGTCGTCTTCCTGGATGGGGACCCCGAGACGGTCTACAGAAATGGTTACAGACAGTCAGATGTCGCGTCCTCAATGGCGCTCGTGCATCCAAGCTATTGCTTCAGTGTATAGCTCCCTTCCCAATCCCCCCACTTGAGAGCCCACTGACAGTGCTGGATTTATGCGCCAATTTATCAACTCCCCGATGATGATGATGATGATGATGATGATGATGATGATGATGATGATGATGATGATGATGATGATGATGATGATGATGATGATGAAACGAGATGTTCAGTTGAGTCTCTCGTGGAAGCCAATGGATGCATACAAATGAATGTATGTATCGAAACATGACTATCTCCCCCCAATAAGACTGATTTTGTGTTGTCCCAATCCTGTTGCTCCAAAGTGTTTCAATCGGCTTGAAACACCACGGTAATTAACCTTCCAAGTTCATGCCAATCACTAGGTCCTTACAATTTAAGGGCAAGTAATTTAATCATACGATATGTAGGATACGATATATCCGGATTAACGCATAACAGTACCATTCTTAGCGGCATAAACACACCTCTGACAGGTGAACGGTGACAGGATTGACTGGACCTGAGTAATTAAGGTCAGTAAAGTCTGTCCAAAATACAGCCGACTAATCTCGCTTCTAAAGTTTTCACACTGAAAAAACCCTCCTTCCCTTCGCGTTCATGAAAGACCGGTGAACTTCGTGCACCTACCAAAAAACTGTGTGCATGCCCTGTCAATCAACAGGCAGACACAGGAGGATCACATGATGGCGTTACCAGCTGGTATTGTTTCACCTTACGGTGGATTCCCACACCAACCTGAGCATGATGTCTTGTCTTGTTAAAGTGAAGGAAAGCATAATCCTTGAGCAACAGTTTGTCGTTGCAGGCATATTCACTTTCAGGTAATCACCTTCAGCTCATCTAAAGAGCGAAATTTACGTTGGATGTCATTTAGCCATGGGTTTCTTCAGTCTGGTCAGTAAAATTTGTGCTTCTACTCCTGTGACCAATTTCGCACTGGAGTTCTTCAACTGCAGCGCACACGGGAACACGTTTGGATTTCCCGTCCTTCGTATGTGTGCACCCTACTACATATTTATTGTTGTTATGGCGATAATCCAATTGCTTTTGTAAGGCTTCACTGTAATGCATCTGTTCATCTGACTGTCTGCTATAGGAACAATTGACAGGTATATCGCTGGCGGCAGAAAAACCTATTTTCGGCCTCCCTACTTCAATCAACCAAGAAAACGGTGATGATGCGTTAGTCGCGATGCCGCCACCATCTGTCAACATGGCTGAAGGTGTGCATCTCAGTAAGTATTTGATTCCTTCGGATTCCTTTGTAGCGAACCTGTGGAAAAATGGTTGAAATATAACAGCGCCAGATAGCATATTATGCATTTTATTTTGAGAAACTCTAGAAACCTCACTGCGAGGAGTAAGCGAGGTTGCTGTCACTGCGGGTCCATGGAAGTCAAAACGCACTCAGTGCGTGCTACTAGTTGGGTTTTATTTGTCAAAACTTGCCAAACTAACGAGAAACATCTTATTGGGAAGATGATCGGAATGTCACCACAGGCATAAAGTCCTATTTTCAATGACCCATGAAGTACTAGAACAAAAGTTACGAGTTTCCGTTTTGTGACTGAATCCTGCAAGTTGTGTTTGGGAAAGTTATTATTTCTACCAGACGATGCTCCAGACAATTATTGTTTTTTGAACCCCCCCCCCCCTATGAGATCTTCCTTCGTCCTGCAGTTTGTCTTCCAATCAACGTCTTCCTCCTTTATCCTCCTATTACAGATGTCCGACAGTTCCAATTCTGTATTGACCTGTTTCATCCACACCATCATCTGTGGTTTGAGGAGTACCTGGGGGCTGTTCAGACAGCTGTCTACTAGTCTCTTTGTGCTTCAGCATGGCACCTGATTTGTTCTGGATCCTTACCTGATAGCAGACAATTTAGACGTTTCATACTGGGTTCTTTGGGTCCAACAGCGCTTCTAGACGGCCGTTAGCGCCACAGTTTAAATTCGAACAAACGTCACTTGATGTTGAGAGCACCAGTGAAGTAGGATGTTCACGGAAGACTGCGGAACCGGTTTGGTCACACAGTAGTACTTGTATCAGTCAGACTAACCTAAGACCGTTTTCTGGTGTTCTATCAATAAAATGTTTTCCCCATAGCCCTGCTGCGTCATTCTCTCACAGGACACTGTGAGACTGTTATGACAATTGCACTCAATGCTTCCATTCATCCGGGGCTATTCCACGAAAACTTTGCAAAAAATAATTTCACCCCGTGGTTGCCTTTCAGATAAGAATGAACAGCCAGGTTATCGTTAGGAACGGGTTGAGTTTATAATCAGGTTCCAAAGAGCAAAAATGTTAGCGTCAGACGCTACTCTGATGCTCACATTGCTTGTGGACCCCACCAGGGCCGCTTTAGCGCATTGCCGTTCTCAGGAGATCACTGGCTATTTTGCCGGCTTACTGTAACTTTAATTACTCTAAAGTAATAGACAAATAGTCAGGGTGAATTTTGTTTTCGAACCAGCTGGTTGTTCCTTCGGCCTATAGTGCGACAAATGGAAATGTCAGATTTTATTTACCTATTTATCCATAATCATGATCCACAAGCGTGCAAAAACTGGTCTGCGCGCATGTGTTCGGAGACTTAAAAAAGACTAAAATGTCTCAATAAGCATGAAAGCGCTGATGTACCTGGGTTTCTGGGGATCCTGTCATATCTTCACCAAACTACAGGTAAGCGGTTATCTACCATCTTCAGCGCTAGAGTAAGCCATGGCCAGTAACCTTCGTTTAGACTACAAAGTTATCGCATGGATTCAGAAGAGCCAGTCTGCATTTTAGAAAGAAATCACTCCACTCCTTATGTTTTAGACCATTTATACACTTACGTAGGGTGGTAAAGCTAAGGAATTGTGTGGGGTGCTTTTACATGGAAACCGTACCAAAAACGCGAGGTTAAAGCTTTGTTAAAAATGACTGAGCCATTCTGTCCCTCACATTTGTCAAACTTTATAGTCAAACATGTTAACAGCTGAACCATTCAAGTGACTATTCACATTTAATTACGCAAGTATTCCAAACGTCTAGTTTGGAATCAGAATGCAATTTTCATCCGAATAAATAACGAACGTAAGTCACGAAATCCTTGATTGTTTATCGATCAAGGCAATTTAGACGTCCCCTTGTCCCATTTTAGATAGTGAGAGAGCAGCTGCCCTGTCTGTTCCAGAATTTTGTTGGCCAGCGACGTTTGGGTGGTTTGGTAGGGAACAATGATGCAGTCTTAACGATTCTTATGGGTTCGTCTAGGGATCGTACCAATCAGATGAGTATTACACTGGTCACCTCTCTCAGACAAGCGTGATGAGACAAGTGAGAGTCAGAGCAGTGACTCAAAAAGTTTAGTTGACCAACTATGAGTGATCTGTGGTTTAAGTAGACCAAGCAAACAGTTTTGAATGAAGAGAACAAGAAGTTAAACTGAACAACTAACCGGAATTACAGGTCAGTCATGATGAACAAAACTTATTTGGTCGCAAATAACACCGGCAGATTTGCCTTAATTAGCGTTATTCATACTTTCAGTCCCCGATAACGTGTTAATGCGACCATATCGAACGAGCTTTAAGTATGATTAGCTACTTTTCGTGTGGATGAAAAAAGCATCCTGCGCAGCGTGTTTGCTAGGGTTATTAAAGTGTGATGATCCAGTGCCAATATGGGGAAAAGGCAGCTTTATACTTTAAGTCTCCGGTGTTCTCAACTACGCGGAAATCTGTACAAAATTTGCCATGAATGAACGTCAAGTTTTACCGGACTAATTTGTGGGATATGCAAATATCTCTGCTGTCGCCAAACTCCGATTCCTCCCATGGGGCTAAGTGATGACAGGCTGTAACAAAACGCATCATATGCGTACCATTTTCGCCCCATTGGATTCGTCGACTGATGATGTGGATTGAAATCGAAAAATCGTTGTTGGCGCGTGATCAAGTTGTGCTGGGACATTTATGCCACTGCCACTAATCGTGGAGCAAGCTCTGAGTGAACATTGTGAGCATGCTTTGGTATTTGTCTGTGTAATCATTAAAATCCACACATTGGACAGCTGTGTACTCTCTTGCAAGTGTCGCCCCACTACCGACACTCAGTCTCCGAAATCCCTGTTTAGTTGGGCCGTAATCAGATATATTTTGCGAGTCACAGGATACGTCGTCACCGCTTCCAAAGTTTCAGCCGACTGCCTGTCTGAATTAGTCAAGGAGTCAATCCATGGTAGGATACGAGTGAGTACAGGGAGGGCCATATATAGGTTGATTTTGCAATTTCGCTCCAAAGCGATAAAAAATAAGTCAACGATTTCTAAGCTGTTACTTGACACAGAACAGAAAACACACGCGCGCCCACAGTGTTTTCTGTTTCCTAACCAGAACCGACATTTCGGTCTGTTTAGTCTAGAGCACATTTCGGATCCTGAACAAGCTGCTGCATGGCAAGAACATAACTGTCACGACCGATGCATGTGGTCTTCACGCGCCATTAGAGCTGAACCGTTGAGTGGAAAATACTCTGTCGAACAAACGCGAATAAAATAAAAGATAAATGCTAGCTAACCCGGCTTGTGGGTGCCTTGCTTTCTGGTGTTTGAGCTGTTCACTGAGCCTGGGAGATTCTTTACAAACGACCCGCCACAAAACGAAATTTCACCATCAGTGTGTTGTAAAGTGGGGTGGAATTGGGCGCCGTTGGGTGTGTCCACAGGCTAAAACCGAATACCGTTGTGTCGCAAGTGTGGTCCAGTTATAAACTTGTGCAGAGCGCACAGACCCCAACCTGAGTGAAGCGTGTGAGGTTTGTCTTCCCTTCAGCATCGATTAGGATTCAGCTGTATAGTCTCACGGGATGCATCCATCACGTTTTTTCCCAGTTTATCTGGTTAGCACTTGATTTTAGCGCCGAATAGGTTAGCTTTAAACGGTTAGGGTCTAAATCTTATAGTCACTCTCGACTAAAGCGTACACAACTGATGTGGCTTCCTTACTGTTGATTTCAGACGGAGGAATCAGTGAGGTAAGTTGGCTTTTGTTACTCTTACAGTGTCTGTTTTGGCACTCACTACTAACATGTGATAACAGTCGTGAGTGGTTGAACAGTTCACGTCATATCTCACCGGAATTCGATTAGGTGTGGTTGCCATTAAGCGAGCTATAAACTGGGTGTTTGGTTGTGTGCCAGAGATTCCGCTTGATGACTCTGTCTAGCATCTGAATCTGTGTTGGCTCAAATCTCATGCATTCCACATATCCGGTTATGGCTTACTGAATTCCATGCTCACTCCAGAGTGATAGTCAAAGTTTGACTTGGTAGGAGGATGGGAAAGCGGCCACGAGAATTCCAGTTACTGCCGATTCACCTTCCACACACAAACACACAATCTTTCTCGTCCTCCTCTGGGGCCGGACCTGCGTCTTTTTGTATGTTTTTGGATATAGACATTGGAATACTTAAATGTCAGTTTGCCTAAGCAGTGCTTCCCAACTGGTACATCCCATCCAGATTGTTTGAATGCTGGGAGGTAAAGGCACCCCAAGGTACTTATGGTAGTCTAATATTCGGTCGGTGACAGTGAGAATAATGACAGCGATAACGATAATTTTGACAGGAAACGTTTAATAGCCGAAAGCAACCATTTAAAGTTTGAGGTAGGTCGTTTGTTTAGAGAAGCTCCTGGATGGTAAGACAAGTAAAACTAGAGGCATTCTGATGATGTTTCTAAAATGTCCATTGTTACTTGTAAAACAGAGCGGCGAAAACATTCATTGATTTTTCATGGTTATTTCTATCGTTCTTTTGTCAAGCGTTGAGGCTTCAATAGCACACATTCCAGAGCAAAAATTTTTCACACTGTTTTCCATCCAGTCGCGTTTTTACTTCTTTTGTAGACACGGCATCAGCCCCCGATTCCCGCTCACTTGCGAGTAACTGGTAGGTGAATTATTCCTGAGCTAGTTAGTTATTCACCCATCAGTTGATATTTTATTCCGAAAACCGAGCTCCTTGCGTCGGTGCAATTCAATGTTGTCCAGAACTTTTGAAAAAACTTGACCATTTAACTCTCTTGAAGCACTAAATCTATCCACTATGCGAACTTTTCAGCATTTATAACTCATTTACACCAAGACCACTCAAAATTTCTGCATTCTGTGTAGTGCTCAGTGGACCCATGTGGTAGGCAAGTATGCGCTGATGAGAGTCACGTGATATGTGATTAATTCACCACTTCACAAAGCCGTATCAGTGAAGTAAAGTAGTCGTTTTCTAATCAGAGGACCTGTCTGTTTTTTTGGATATAAGCGAGGAGTGTGATACCAAATGTCACGGTGTGTGGGGTTGTCGGCCAGAGTTTACGCTTTAAGTGCACTGACAGCTTCAATCTTAGTCTATTTTGTTAACCTATGTTCGCGCAGTATGCTCTGTAAGATAATACTGAGCAAGACACTGGAACATGTTGAGGGTTGTATGGTATGAACTCATGACCTACTCTAAGCTTGTTTGAATTCTCTTTCGGGACAGTGCGTTATTTCCCCCAGGTGACCAGCACTACCATCCTTATTGCAGTCGCGATCCTATCTTCTACCATGGAAGGAATTATAAAAACGCCGGTCATGAGAACCCACCCCTCCCTCAACCAGTGATTGACCGTGACTAACGGCGATTTAACCAGCATGGCTAAGAAACAAATAAAATTGCCATGAATTCAGTGCAGCCTTTGTCTCATCTGTTTTGCATAAAAGCGTCAATATTCGGGCGCTCTCGGGCCAGACCAGTCCTTCGTGTTCAAGTGGGTTAGACTATTGAGTGACTGGTCGCGGGGATGGTCCCCAAGAACATCCTAACAATCGCTGCCCTACTGTTCTAACTTTAAAGTCAGTGGTAGAACCTGAAGGTCCACAAACAGATTTCTACATCCTCGAACTGCCTTGTAGGTTGGACTTTTGTGTCAAGGCCCCAAACAAACAAACCGTTCCTCGGCCTGAGAAACCGGGTAGCATCACTGTCCTTTTCAGCTCTTTGTATACTGGCCACACTCTGCAACCATTTTAACCAAGTACGCTGCATAAGTATAGTTGATGGTGGAGTAAATTCTTCTGCCCTGAGCTTGGAAGAACCTGTGCGGTTTCTTTTTTGGATTTGTAAAAGTCAGTCAAACCGGGAAATGCACAAAACTAATGGTAACAATCGGGTCTCCTGATCAAAAATTCATGTAACAGCTGCCCTGCATGACATCCGTTTTATGAAACTTAGGTGAATATTTTAGACTGTTTGCTCTGGAATCTTTGGGAATGACCCAGCGGAGTTTTTCGATTCCGACACCTGAAGTTTTACCAGTGTTTCAACGGATCATTTAGAAAGAACCGTTTTGAATGTTTGATAGACAAGTTCATCCTGCAATTCAACTTAATATGTACAAGAAGCAGCCGAGATCTGTTTCCTTCTTGCTGGGGATGATTATCAGTTCACGAGCCGCATTGACACAATCACGAGGAGTAAATTTCGGGATTGAAAGTTGCTGTCACAACATCCTCATCTTCTGATAAGCAAATCACGGCTGAGCAATATTGTGGCTCAGATACCAAGTGAAAAGTTCCTGGTTCAAATCCCTTCAAGATTGGTGAAATGCGCACTTGTTGAAGACTCCACAGAAGGATAAGACATAGGTACTTGTTTTCCTCAGTAATGACTTACAGGATGCTGACAGAAAGAAAATCCATATTGGAAAATCAGAGTCCTCTCAGTATCCATAGGTTGTAAATCTGTAAAGCACTGATGTGTCCCGTACATGGGCCGATTTTGTATAGTTGGCATTTGGTTTGTGGTTGTTTCGTTCGTTATGTATTTTCAAGTAGTGACGATGAAGCGTTTGCGAATCAACCCGCATGTTTGGTGAAATAATCAGCCATCCGTAAGCTACTCTGACCTTTCCTGTATCGCATTTCATTAATAATTTTATTTCAGGCTACCACAAACTTCTGAAGCATAGTGTCACAACCATTGGTGATAGTTGAATCAGGCACAAAACTAGTAGGCACTCATTGGTGAGGTGAGCAGTTATGCAGCTAGTTAAAGGGACTCCCGGCCGATCCCGTTTAGATACAAATTGTGTTCCACGAAGAAGGCAGAAGGCCCATAACTTCATCTGCATAACAATTTTTTTACGGGAACCCAGCTCATTCTCTCGTTTATGATATACTTCTCAACTGAATATGCTGCATCAAGCCGCTTCATGTTTCATTTTGTACGATATTCGAGATACCACAACTCAGTTCATAGATATGATGCACCACTCAAAACCCTCCGATAACCCACGACTTGTCTTTCCCCTCTTGAGGGTTATCAGTCAGGTCATCCGTCAAACTTATATTCTGCTTCAAACCTAATTGCACGAAATTTGACCACTACACCCATCTGCATACCATTTTGGTTTTGGCAGGATACTCATCGGGAACCCAGCTGATTCTCTCATTTATGCTATTCCTCTCACTTCCAAAGCATAGTTACTCCCATCCATATTCCGACGTAAAATTGTGGCAGTTCCGGGACAGAAAGGGTAAAGCAACAACAAAGCTTCTAGTCCAAGTGCCCTCTTCACGAGGACAGCCGAACTTTGTACTTTGATCATCCACATGTAGTTTACGCAACGTACGTTCAACCTTTTAATCCCACAGGCCCTGGAAACAGTCCGCATTCTCCGTTAGACCTCTCAGTTAGACCAGTCCTGGACTTATCGCGCAACAATGCAGCAGTAACTGGATATGACCTTCACATCCCCCCAAACTTACTACCGACTTTTTCGGCCACGGAAAATGGTAGCAATCTACAAACGGGTAGCATGCTAAGGTCTACTCACCACAAGTCCATCAGCTTGAACGAATTACGTCAGAATCGTTTAAACAGCGGTATGGATACACACTCCGCTCAAAACTATGTAGGTGTTCGAAGCTTCCTTGACCAGTTTAGGGTTCCACGCCTGGGCATATCTCCCAATGATTCAGTGTCCTCACCAGTCTACTCCTCACCACCGCCAACGGATTCAAGCCATCTGCCACCGCAGTATGCAAGTGATCAACATAGACAAAACTTTCTTACCGGCACCAATCGCACACCCCCGCCAGGCAAACCGGAACCCACAAGAAATCAACACCGAACAGCAGGGAGAACATTCGGTCTGCGTCACTCACCCCAACCAGATTACTCTTTTGCAACCACAGTGGATGGGCTTCCACCACCGTCAGTACCAGCCGACAGACCGATCAACCCACACAGTCCAATTTTCCGGCGTGCTCGCACTCCTAAACAGATGCAAGAACGGTTCATCCATCCTGCTGTAAGTCAAGAGCGTCTCGTTGCTAAACCCAATAGTTTTGGCCATCATCAAAGTTGAAAACAGAAATCTGTCAAAGAAAAAAACACTCATTTGCAAATCAACTTGGTTTCCACGGGAGACTCATTTGGAACTCTCGTTTGTGATGTCCTCCAGCTGAATGTGCTGCACACAGGCCACCTCATGATTCAGTTGGCACGATATTCGAGATATCGAAGTATATTTTTTTCATAAAGGAAACTACTCACAAGGTTGCTGAAAACTCTTTGACACCTCACGACCGGTTTCGCCCTTCTTGGGGCTCATCAGGTAGGCGCAGTCCCCGAGTTTCCGTCAACCTTATGATCTAATTGCGCTGTTTTCGAGAAATACACTCATCTGCAAATCAATTTGGTTTTCACGAGAGACTCAACTGAACCGGTCGTGGGCTGTCGAATAGTTTTCAGCAACCTTTTAAGTAGTTTCCTTTATGAAAGAGAAATTTGTCAACTTATCCCACTTAATCATAAGAAGTGAACGAGCAGCAGCTGTAGTCTGACAGACCTCATTCAGCAACTGAAGGTTAGTTGCCACCTGGGACCAAACGGAACACATTGAAGAAGACATTCTTCAGTGTGCGATACAGAGTTAACCAGTTCTGACGACTTTTGAATGCAAAGCGAGATAAATATAGTCAATTCTAAGATTTTTTTCCGCTTAGAGGGAAGATCCGCTATCAATCATTGTTGAAGCATGGGGACATTCCAACAATATGAAAGTTTTTGGTTTGAATGAAATTAATGATATATTGCTATACATTCATTATATATATCCTTAACCGATAACTACCCTAACAAAACAGTCCGATGAGCATCAATCAGTTTCCACTATGTGGAGACTCATTGAAAACAACTTTCGCACTGAGGGGAAACTCTCAATCGTGGAAACAATTTTCCACGGTTCACAGGTCAGAAGGTGAAACAGCTCAAACTGAATCGACAGAATCTACTGAAGACGGGAAAATTAAGCACGAACAGCCTAACATATTGAGGACAAACAGACTAAATTTTTTTAAACAAGGTCGAGTCTTGCAGTGACATTGCATGGATGTTGAGGGTGGACCTCTCATTTATGTTATTCATCAACCAGGTGTGCTTTGGAAAAAACAAACTCACTTTTAGCTGGCGCGACAAGAAATCGTATGTCAACAAATTGGATCTTCTCAGAACCGAATTCACTAAGACATGGTCTTTTGGTCAGGCCCTAATGCGTTGTATCTCTGGGTTATTTATAATCAACCGAAAACGTACTACCCCTTGTGAAAACAGAATTGGGTGAAAAATATTTGCTCTGAATTTGCGACAGAGACAATTGCTATTTGCGTCATACCTCAGGTCGTTTCACCCTTTTTTTTTCAAAGAAACCTTCCTTAAGATCCTTATCGAGTTTCTGTCTTATGTGAACATAATGCGCAACTTCAGATCGAACCATGTCCAGAAAGAACCACTTGTGGTGGCAGCAATAGCATCCACCTTTTCGTGGTACTGACGTTTTGGACCACAGTCATTTAAGCATAACGTCTTTACCGATCCCAAGCAGCTTACGGGCCCATGATCCATAATAAAATTGTGATTCATTCTGCAGTGCATGTTAATTGTTTGATTTCTTAAGAAGTATCTTAAGAGTGCGGACGTAATGCCATTCAGCATTTGCCCAGTTAAAAACAGTCAGCTGGCATCTGTTTTACCACTGCTGTTTTTCTCTTCACGTTTCCAAACATAGACTCATTGATGATGAATGAAATGGGACGAATTTTCACCACCAGGTTGTATTTCAGTAACGCTTGTCGAGTTGACAAGGCTTAGATAAAGCATAAACATAAAAGGGAGAAAAAGAGGCGGTGTTTTTGGTGGTGCCATTTTGAACACTTTCCTAGTACGTTTTTTTATGCTTTCGGAGACCCTCTAGTGGGCGTCAGAATAGAAGCGTCTAAACTCCACTTTTAAAGCAGCAATCTGTTTTACCTAGGAATTAGAGTTAACAAACCATCCGGCAAAAATGTTCTGCGGACCCACAGTCAACTTGAGTGCAAGATTGGAAGCCGATAAATTCAGTAGGCCACACGGGAAGTACACAAACTATTTTCTGACCAGGCGAAAGCTGGAACTGTTGCTCTGACTTTCACAATTTTTCAGTATGCTCAACCACTGGGCTGGAAATGAAACTCGGACCGACTCTGATTGACAAGAGCTTTGATTCCTGGTTAGATACTAGACATGAGGCCATTCGAACACAGTGCGCTTCCTTATTTCGCACGCCTGAGTCTTGTTAAAGCCTACCAATTCCTATTAATGCGTCAGAGGGCTACGGTGGCATCTATAATTGCTGTTGAATCTCTGTCGCTCCCATAATTGTGATTGGGGTCTGCTGATTTTTGTCCACTAATTTACCTCACCAAACTGGATAATTAAAACAGTAAGGATGGTTGCCCAGTTCAACGATCAGGGAGAAGCCAAAGCATCGATATAACCTCTCACTCCATTACGAGCCAACCCTGCTATATAAAGCTACCAAACTGAGCAAACTGCTTAATGGAGGCGTGGGACTTACTGGGTAATAGAGTGTAGGAAGTGGTAAAACTTTTAGGTTTTGGAACAAGGATCAAGAAGCATCGATCGAAACGGTTTGAAAGTGATCTAGAGATTTTAGAGTGTAACTCCAGAAACCCTCCAGTAGAAATTCTCCTAGGTGATAGTACTTTGATCACATACTTTGTCGTGATCGTTTTCTAGTGCTTTTTGTTCGTGCTAGCAGGTCAGGGATCCCAGAGACTGACACTTGTTTCACCACATTTGATGGTGACGGTCTCATAGTTTTGCCTTGGGGACTATATGGCCTTATGTCCTAGATTGAAGTGATTTTCAGACCTATCAGGATATTTTTCACTGTTGATCAGGTGGCTGTTGTCGCCAAGCTTGGCAATCTCGTCACCATAGGAAGAGACGCCATCACCTGTACTCGGATGGGCTATTCCCCATTATCTCGTGCAGTTATCTAGCATTTAAAGACTACCTGTTAACTTCCAGCGTGACTGGCTGTCTGGAAAACAGCGCTTCCCATGAGTATATTGGTCCTATTGTGATCTTTGTTGCTTTGTGGTCTGAGTTGTTCGATCTGATTGGGTACCTCGGCGCCTTCTACTTTTCGTAGTTTTCTGCCTGGCTTTGATTAACCCTCTTCTTGATTTGCATTGCGTTATGGTGTGATATTCTCGAGATTGATTGGTTGACTGTACTGCACCATGCTCTCCATTCTAACGGTTGGTGTTCCTTCATCCGCGGTTAATTTGGTACCTTGGTTTATTCGTTGGGTGCCTCCTCCAATCAAATTGACGTGTCCATTTGAATCGGGCTTTCCTGTTTCTCTCATGAGTTCCTCGTCTTGTCGCTTTCTAAACTCAAAGCTCTGCGGTTCTGGTGTTCTTTTGCTCTTATTGATTACTAAATAGGATCAATTCTGATACGTGTTTTGATAGAGTACCACGCTTTCATAAATCCAAGTTCTCTCTTCATTCTTGCTTGAACAACGTGCGAACCCTGCTCCGGTCAAATTCGTGTCCTTCTTGATTTTTGTGTACGAAGATGAGGGAAATTGATCGTGCCTTTTAATGGTGAGCTTGTGTTTGTGTATTCCGGTGGAGGGTTTCCTCCCCGTTGGTTCTATATATCGCTTCTCACGGTCATTGCGCTGGATCCTGTATGGAACATTGTTCTGCATCATTGGGTCTAATTTTCCTCCTGGTTTCGATAATGACCTCCGCAAAGTTTTCGCAGGTTTTTAAGCGACCGTCGTATTGTGCTGTCGCAAGAGCCTTGCTGTCATTTCAGCGGTGTCCTTGGTGCATGGGGGTGTGACTCGCTTGCTTCTATTTTGTGCTGTTGCATCTGCCATGTTTGGCTCCACGGTGACCTCCAGATGAAATTTCTTGAGTACCAATTTTTTCTTGGACAAATTGTTCCAATTTTTTCAGAAACTTTCATCCGAACATTTCTGCACATTTCTGTATATTTTTGGTTCACGGAGTGACTGCGAAGGAGACCTACTCATCATAAGCGTCCTTTCCAAAGCTGTCTAATATTTGTGATGGCAACGAAAAGTTCTAACAGAAAGTGTGGTCAACTTGAGAAACTTAAAACTGGAAAAAGTCCATAAGTCTTCTCATTTGGAAGTAAACGTCCTTGATTCACTTGTGAATAGACGCGGAGAAAGTTACGTCCGAGATCTTTTCCTTCATGTGGGCTTCTTTTTCCGATGAAAGACTCCAAGGCTAGTCTTATTGTGCGTAAAATCTTGGCAAATGCACACCTGATCGGTTTTTCACTATTGGTTACTGGATGCCCGACTAGAAATGGGAGAGACAGATACTGTTTACACTTGACAGTACTGTAGCTACAGTGTCAACATATTTAAAGCACCAAAGTTTTCCGGTAGATTTAATGCATCTGTTTTGTTGTCCTACTGAATCATCGTGATACGTAACTAAATGGAGACAAGCCTGTCTTTAGGGGTAATTTACTGAGGCAAAAGTACGCTAGTCCAAAATGCGAAGGTGGACTAGCAATGGCGGTACGTGACTTTCGTGTCAGGTATCAGAACTTCAACAACAGGGGGACTGAGGTTACATACAAACATGGAGTTCCAATAGGGGGCTATGCAAGTCAGGTTTCCTCTTTGGCTAAGTCCAACTGAAAAATTCGTTTAGTCATAGCCTTTGTATCCATGTCATACGGAATGTGGTTTTATAACAGCACTTCTGGTGTGTCTTGGATTCACGACTAGAGAAGGGTTATTCATCCTCACAAAGACAAATTAGTCCTTCACAAAGAAAACTACCTACAACGTTGCTGAAAACTCTTCAACAAATCATGGCAAGTAGATGTGATCCCTAAGTTTCTATCGACCTTATGTTCCTCATGAAACAAAGTTGGACAGACAGAGCGAAACGGATTGTGGGCTGTGTGAGAGTTTCCAGCAACTTTGTGAGTAGCTTTCTTTACGAGATGTACTGCGGTATCTCGAATATCGATGTGAACTATGATACCTAAAAGCTTTAGTGCCTGTAACATCATTTTACCCTACTGCCGGTCTAGAGGTAACACACTACTTACCAGGCCATCTACTGCTGGTTTTGCCTTATTTAGGGCTCGTAGGTGGCAAAGCCTCCGAGTTCCCTCCATTCTTTATTAGTTCTGCTCTAACCCCAAGTTGTACGCAAGCCTGCGCAATGGATTCACCCCATCATTTAATCGTGTCGCTGAAAGATGTCGTTTGTTTATATAAGGCGAAGAGTTCCATCAGCGTATGTAAAACAGTATGCAAATCGAGAGTGCAGTCTGGCTGATCGTGTTGTTTTCATCACTCTCTCTCTCTCTCGTGCGCACAGACTCCACCGGTTTCCAGACGATCAGCTATGCACAAATCTATCTGCACCCTTCCAGACAGAAACGAAGACGAATACCAGCCAGGTAAACTTATTTTTCCCCATACGCAAGTTCAAATATCAGATCACCTCAACAGCTGTTACGGTGGTGAAATTTACTTGCTTTAAGTAATAAATTGATTTTTTTCCGCAGAAGAAAGATCCTTTTACCCAAAGTTCTTCCACGATTTGTATTCTACTTAGTATTATCCGTTGTTCCAAAATCCCTTCCAAGCTATCCGCCAGTTTTGGAGGATGATGCGCCAACTCTATTGTGCACGACCAAAGCACTAGAAGCCGACCATCTGCTCAATAATCAGAAGAAGCCGTGCCAAATCCATGTGTAGTTGTTAAGTCAGATGAATTTTAAAAAATATCCAGGATTTAGGATAATATAGAGGCATGAACCGGATAATCTGTGCCTCAGTAAAGAATCTCGTGAATATAACAAGTCATTTCAAGACGCGTGCTTTGTACTCAGCGTCTATTTATCAATAAGTGCTCCGTTTTTCGTCATCAACTCCCGCCCAGTTTATATCTGCCAATCAGTGGGGTACGACAATGCAAAACGGGAACAACTGCTCTTAAACACGATCGCTATGGGTCCCTGTGCTCTTCTGACTACGCACTGGGCACCAAAAAACTCTTCCACGATATGTGCGTAGGAAATAAATGTTTGCCGGACCAAAAAAACGCGTAACTAAGGACAATGTCTGTTTGCTAGTGAAAAGTAGTATTGGTATTGCATCCCATTTCCCAGATGCGAAAAACTTAGACACAGCTGTACTAATGACTAGGACACTGTGTGTGACACTTCCCATTGATGGTGTACTCGATGAGGCCCTTCCTTTTTGTCACAAACGCATCTCTGATACGAGTAAAATTCACAAAGATTTCTTCGAAGTCATCATAGGTCAACTTTGTAACGATCAGCATTTCCTTAATTGTGCCCAATTCTCATCCTATTCTTCCAGAAGATACGATTTCATCCAGCCATATGCTGCAACGACCAAAAAGCACTACGCGCTTACGACGATTATTCACCGATAACCCGTAAGTCAGTTTGCAATTAGACGTGTGATGCCAATAATCTGGCTGATATTTGTGAGTAAATCAGTTCGTTTCATCCATTCAACTACCCCAATTAGACAAAGGGACCTGTGGTTTGAATCACTGCCCGTTTCACCATTCGGCACACGTCTCTCAGATGCGTAAGTCCCCGAAACTCATACTGCGTCGAACTGTCCACCGATGCAGTTTATCATTGAACTTGGTGTTTGCACTGATAATCCCCCTTGATGGGTTCAAATACAACATTGTGAGGTGCTTTCCGCTTAGTAACCCCACTTAACCAACCCTTAAACAAACCAAGAATTGCCCGACCAGCAGTTTTTGTTTGTGGTTGTTGTATCAAACCTCAGCTAATCTCAACGGGCTGTGAAACAACAACAAATCCCCTAGGTCGTGTCCTTCGTTTAGCTAAAATTTCGAAAACGATCGGTCCTGTCATATACCTGAAACGATCTAGCTTTCCGTATTGTGAATCTGTTTTCACCCAAATGGTAGGCTGAAAGGTAGGTGCGCTACACTAGCGCGCTAGTTCACGACAGAGAACAAAATTCAGCTAAAAGTTAAACAATTTCATTTTTTCGAAGGGTTGTCAGCATTCCCCTTTTCTCGATTGCTTTTAGGGCTACTGTGACTTTGGTGATTACGTTCAACTTGTGAATGATTCCATACAATACAGGTCACTTTAATCAGGTGCCGGCATCCTCTCAAGGCCCGTTCCAACCATCTGCTCCTCACTGTTGTCGTAAGATTAGAAAAATCAACTTGTTTTAGCTGTCAATCTTGCTAGAATCGTAGGAAGCTGGTCGCCCACTGAGCCATTGCTCCATCATTTCTACAGTTTATATTGGGACCTTCCAAAACCCAAGACTGATGGCTGGCGAAATGTGCTGATTTCTCGCAATACGACTGGCATTAAAATGCGCATAGGCTGTTAAACAGTGGAATGCTCACTCAGGTTAACTGAACACCGGCATGTAAAATTCCATCTTCTGTTTTTTGCGGATTTTGTTGAACCTTGTCCTGATGTGACAGTATGTGTATGTCAAAAACCCATTGAGCTACAGTAGTGGATGCCCATGCCAAATGTGGAGTCTCTCCGAGTTGGTTGATGGATGAAGTATTGACCTTCTCACTTTGCGGTTGGGACAAGTGTACTAACTTGCCCTATTACTCCTGAGACCAATAGCTTAGCTCCGTACCAATTCTTACGTGAACGGTTGGTAAAATTGTTTGTCAGCAGCGTTCAAACCACCAGACGACCGCACATAGTAAGGTATCACAGATGCCAGCACGGAGATGTACGTGATGCTGCGTGCAAGCCCTCGGCCCTGACCCAAACTCGAGAGAGTAAGGTCGGCGAGGAACGTAAAGAGGTCTATTGCAAGACTTCATCCGGCGTAAAAACGATAGCCGTATAGGAAAAGCCGGCAATCAGAAACATACAACCGCTGCCACCTTCAACTTTCCTCGTGGCCATCTAGAAACCCTCCTGCTGTCTCAATTAGTACTCATTCTTCCGCATCTCATAGCACTAATGAATTGACTGACTGCACGCCGTTCATTAGTGAAGCCCTCGTCTCCAAGTTTCTACTGCATTCCATAAGCAGGCCGACCAGTTGGATGCCCTTGTGCTCACTCAAGATAATTCACTGGATTTCTGAAACTCTAATTCATTATCCACCGCGATTGACCACTAAATCAGCGCCGTAGCTCGTTACAATGGTGTGCGTATAGCCTGAGCTCCCCTAGTTGACAGGATTTGTGTACACATCTGCCTTCCTGTCGTTTTCCCCTTCACCTGTGGAAAAAATAACACCTTTTCTTACGCATCAACCGATTGTAGCTCTCATTTAACGAAGCATCTTCAACAAGAGGTGAGGGCTTTGAATCTTCCTTGAGTCTCTCGAGACGCACACTGCTGATGCTTTCCAGCAAGGGTGAATCTACTATTCGAAGCTTCTCAGTATTCTAGCACAGATCGCCCTACCCTACAGGAAGAAAACTCTACTGAAGATATCTGTTAGTTAGGGGTGGTAAGCCTCGATATTCGACCGTCAACCATCCTGGCATACATGTGCTGATTCAGGTGGTTCCTGTGTGAAATGTAGATTTCACTGAACTTTCCCGGTAAAGCTAAGAAGAGAGGCTCTTATTTTACTGTCAAACAGCTTTTTCAATGACCAACTAAGCTTGTCAAAAGCTATCACACGATGACTTGAAAGCAGCCTTCTCGAAGAACAAAAATCGTAGCTGGTCAGAGATGCTGTAAACGCAGTACGTGTTGTTTCCAAACCCTCGCACCTTAACCAGTAGATCTCAGAATGGGTACTGTCAAACCTTGTTACAAGATATTTTACCCATTCTCTTGGAGCATCTGTTGAACTTTAGCCCAACTGAAGTCTATGTGTGAAAAACGAGGGATAAAAAGCCCAGAAATGTAAAGCACCAGGACGTATAAAGAGACAGTTAAAGCTCACTTGCAAAATGGTACCGAGCACACAGTCTGTGGGTCAGCTCATCGAATTTAACACTAGGATTCTAATAATGTAATGAAAGGTAACTTTTAAATCGCCAGTTGGCGTGGTTTCAGGAACAGGTTCAATGGCTGTCAACTTCTACACCTATGTTTTCTATTCGATCCACTCAACTCGGGAGTAATTGAACGGGGAAAAACGTCAGAAAAGCACTTTCAGGTGAACATAGCCAATTGGAAACGTCAGACATCCTCCAGAAAGGCAAAATTTCGGCTAACTTGTGTTTGTTCATCAGTTTTGAGCTTAAGTGAGAGTTCACTGTTCAAAACTTGCAATGCGTGCTCCACCAATCAGTAGGTAGACTTTAATCCCTGACCTACCGGTTAGTAGATGACCGCGAGCAGCTGATTAACACTGTGATTAAACTGCGTATTGACTAGTCTTGTTTTTGTGACAGAAAGAAATGTTGCGGTGCACACGTCTTTCCGGCTAATCAGGTTTACTTCTACGTATCCATGGATGTACAATAGGTCCAAATTTCTATTGCTCTACACGTGGGTCTTACGAAGTTCATCTGGCGAGAGCACATTATTTTTAAAATGAGATAAACAAAAGTATAGGGTGATTGGTCCATACTGATGAGACCTTGAGCTTCACGTCTTTTTAAGACTTATCGGTTGGCAGCATTTCCTGTGTGCTTACTTTTATCTGTTGACCTAAAAGGCCAATTCAGCCTCAGTGGTGGCGAGCTTAGAGAAAGCTTGGAAGTGCGAAGCAATGTCCATCAGTGTGTGCACACTCTCCTAGGAGAAGTGAGAACACAAACTTGCAAGTGTAGAGAAAACAAAAAGATCAAAAATGATCCTAGCAATACACTTCATATCAGCGCAGCTGTGTGAAACTGTTCGATGAATATGGCGCGAATCTTCCCCCGAACTTTTCATTGATTTTTCAGCAGTCTACTTCACGAGGCGTTATAGCCCAATCCAGCTAAGATAGAAAAACTGCTATTTTCGTCATTTACACTCTGATCTCATCAGTACATAGGTATATAAATAACAGAACAAAAATTGTGCCAATGAATGTGAGGAATTTAGCTGTGCTTTCTCACGAACTGTACCAATATCCGACTATGGGTTTTCTTCGCTTGTCTGAGATCTGGTGCCTGGACGTATTCTCCTGTTCACTGTGGGGTTGGAGGTTCTACACGGTTGTGCGTGGGCTCAGACACTGCTAGAGGAGGACGATTGGGGTCCCCAATCAAAGTCTTTGTTTCATAAGCCTTACCGCAAAGTAGTGAAGATTGGTCCGAGACTACTCGAGTAACCTGCATTTTAAGGAGCGAATTGCTACACTTGTTCCAACCGTCAACCTAAATGGCTGTCATAAGGTGTAGATTTGACACAGGCCGACCAGAAATAGAATCATTTGGTGGCAATCCATGCTATCTCAGCAACCTCACTGTCCGAAGAACAACTACCCTGCGCCGTCAGGAGAGACCAAACCTCACAAAAAACATTTTGCCCTCCTTGGATTCACCAATGATAAGTCTTCCAGATGAGGTCACTTTAAACCTACATTTTAAAAAGTTTCGCCACTAGTGGAATGGTTTGTATCGATTGGCGCACTCCCACAAGCAAGAAAATGAACCGACTGTCTTTCTGGTTGAAAATGAGAGCCACTCCCAATGACTTGGAGCCCTTCCTGCAAAAATGCAATTTTCCTTTTACGAGCCACTCAAGCCCTTCTCGTTTTCCCTATTCATCGCGTGGATGGAGTAGACCAATTTAAACGCGTTTGTCGGTCATTCGTTGTTATATTCTGCTCTGTTGTAACAACGTTCATCGTCCAGCCAACGAATATCCATTGGTAGATCTTCACATGCTCTCCTATGGCGCAACGATTGGCTTTGTACTCCCCCCATTTCGTGCTTGTTTATGGCATAACTCATGTATCATTCTGTCTCACATGCACGCAAACATGGTGGCCGGTCACGATTCACCTGGTGTATCACGCTATAGTTTCTACCGCTCATAATCATTTGTGACTGTTTCATACACACATACATATATATCAGCTCTGGCTATGCGTGCTCACAACCCCTCTTGTTTTGCCAACATGCTCAGCTTTCGATGGCTCTCACAACGTCGAAACTCAACGTGTGAGGCTCCTCCAAAATCCGCTTCCATCTCAGTCCCTCCAGTTACAAATAGCGCAAACGTGCGTTCCTCCCTCTCAGCTGCTTATGTTTACGGACGATCGAGCTCTCTACGCGCCCCACGTAGCTCAGCTTTCCAGAAGGTCAATTCAACCAATAGTCTGTGGACCACAAGGGACTCGCGTGGCTCTGAGTCAAATGGTCGCATTATGCTTTGTGATAGTTACTGGAATCAGAATGGTGGCTTTGCGGGTGGAGATCAGTACACAGCCCCACAGTCTGTACCGAACATGCCCAACTCGCTAACCCAGCAACCATGGATGAGTGGGGCTGGTGTGGAATCATTACCATCCTCATCATCTACCCGGGAGACCCCATCGGATGCATCACAAATGCACTCGCTTACGCCACCAATTGTGACCGACATCATGGAGGAGCTGGGAAACTCGTGAGTGTTTATCCACCTACTGCTTTACCAATGTCAGATTCAATCTGATATCAGAGATGTTTGAGTGACCATTGGATGGACCTAATCTCAAAAAGGCTATGTACCGGCTATCGGTGTCGCATGCACAAGCCTCCTTGGTACTGGTCCAGAGAGGTATGATTGACAAAAACGACATCCATCACTGCGTGCGTTCTGGTCTTGAGCTAACCCGGGACATCGTCTGTGGTAGGATCGGGCTGTTATATTCTTGTGGTGCTTGCATGTTTATTTTAATTGTTGGTGGTGATCAACGTCTTTATGTGTATCCCTTTTGGATGCTGTTCTTTGATTATCTATATCGCTGTCCACTGATTATCTGCACGGAAAATGTAAGTAGGCGAGAAGGGCTTGTCAGCATTTCGAAAGGCTGCATGTTTGTATTTATCTTTAAAACTGGATTGGTTTTCGAAAACACCGTTTTTGTGGGAGGTTACACGAGAGCAAGGAACGCGGTGTTTTCCTAGAGACTTCCTTCCTAAATGGGAAACTTACCCCAAAGATGCCACTTTTGCCCGATCCAGTAAGCGGTCTTGGTAGCACCAAACAACGAGACACTGCGACTGATGAAAAGCCCTGAAAGTTCCTATTTTACACCAGCCGAACTTCTCTGAGGGAAGCTTGAACCTCAACTTCAGTTGTTCCCCACCTCATTCCCCGTTCATCTGGACCCTAGAGCATCGGGTCACATAATGGTCCCGGGCTATTTCAGTTGACCAAGTTTGCCGGTTTCGAAAGTACCGCCGGATGTACTACACTTCCGCTTCATTCTGTGCGTACCACTGTTTTTTGTTGCCGGTTGATCAAAAAATGCTACAGCCTTCATAACTCACAGGTACCCCACTCCGGTGCTTAGCCTGAAAGAATTTTTTGGGGTGCACCATAACCTCTTCTATTTCGATATTCTCGTAGAATTAAATGAATACGTGGATCTTGTGAATGGCCGGCATCCAAAACCATACTGCCGGTCAGTAGGAGTGGAACTCTTAAGTGACTATACATATTTGATGAACCACAAGCGCTTCGCACGAAGCCGAATGCTCCTGACCGGCAGCTGGTGAAAACCTATATCTAAGTGAATAGGGTTGGTAGGGAAAGTGGATAAGTTATGAAGTGGTAACCGCCGCCCACCTGGACATGATGACGCAATGGTGAGCGTCAGTACCAATTCTCTTACATGAAGGTGCTAGCAGCATCCGTTAGTTCCCTGAAATTGCAACATGCAATCCTAGTTATCCATCCAACACTGCCGTTTTGAGGGACAAACTTCAGCGCGTGAAATCTGTGTAGGATGATTAGCCCGGTGGTAACCAGTATGATCATGAATAGCATATGACACTGATACCATTCTCTGCGCCACGCGGTGAACTGCAGTCCAATGGCCCTTGGTACTGTCATCCCACGCATTGGAGTACATTATGTATTGATCAGAATTAGGAACAAAAACACTTAATTTAGGTACCTCACTGTTACTTGCGTTTTAGTTGGAATCGACACAGTATAAAATTTTTAATTCACCCCCCGCAAAATAGGCTCCTTGGAATTCGCGGAAGACTGATGCAACAGTGATTTGAGAGCTTGAACTGCATTCTACAAAAGGTTGTAGCCGGAATCTAATCGTCGTTTATCTGTTTCACGTGACGTATCCGATATAGTTGGTTGTGCGCGCGACGTACCAGATGTCGTTCTTACTGACCAATCTGAAAATCCGATGTTCAAAACTCGATGTGACACTGAGTCCATAGAAATTATAAGTGATCCACATAAAACATCCCAATTCGCCTTCGATAAAGCGTCCGTGTTTCGCCACCATACACCTGTGAACACAGTACAACAACCCTGTACTGTGCAAAGCGATGCCAACTGGCAGACTCCGATTGCCCCAAACTCATTCACACTGTCGTCCAAATGTAATGCTCGTTCACTATCGATTGTTGAGTCTGAAAACAGTGTGCTGTTGTGGTGTTCGTAGCCGTTTTCGCAACATCATGCACTTTAATCGGTAGCGCTTAGCAATCAGAACATGTCATACTACCGCATTTATTCTGCTGGTGACCCGACTTTGAGTTATAGCTCCAAGTAAAGTATCCACTACTCTGTGGAAATCGTTCGGACCAAACTTCTTGGCAGTAACTGTGGAACAGGTTTAGTCGACTTATTCATAACTCACCTGATTGACTCCGAAAGCACGGCAGGCTCGACGTCAGATTAGATTCTCACAGAATAGCCTATCAAAATTTTCGCACGAGTTCCACCGGTACGCATAAATTTTTTTTCATAAATTCAGTCGCCTAGCGCTAGTTTGTCTCATGGCTGTGGATTGAGCTAATCGACAAACATGAATACCATACTGTCCGTCAAAATCTGGTTATGGCCTTTGTAATATGAAACCCTTGAACATAATCCATAAACCCAGCTGTTCTTCATCACACGCATGTCACATTTAACGGAAACGTTGCAAATTCCCTGCTTGAGGTTTTGCCGCTAAGACATTTTCCCTCCACAGAACAGGGTGGAACTGGTGTCTCCTGATCGTACTCTTGGACGTTATTAGACTACTCGTGAGTAGCCTTGGAAAACCGGTGGAGCAAACATGCACTAGTCTGTCTTCCATAGGTTTACAAAGTGGTCTTCAACGTGATAAAGTGGATTGTTCATATAACTTTGCAGCAGGTAGTAGATGAAATGCGTCTCTACCGGTTGGCGTCAAAATTAAGGTAATTTTTGTTTGCCGTTTAATATGGCATGACCAGATAAGCCATCTCAGTTTTAGACGTTATTTGAGTCCCGGCAAAATCGTTTAGTATATCGAAAACATGAGTCGTTTTTCTTGAATCCTAAAGTTCAGAAAAGTGCAAACTGAGATGGTGAAGATGTAATAATACATATTCCTACACTCTATAGACATCCCTGCGAATACTTAAGCTGTGTAGTTCTCAGTTCCACGTTGACTTAGGCAATACTGCCGATAAGAAGTGGAAACAGAACGGCATCACATAACATTGCGTAATAATACCCCTTGGTACATTTGTTCAATTCGATAAACAGTCACAGTCATGAACAAAAATTCATGCCGTACCTCCCCTCACCCATATTCCTTAATCAGTGTTGATCCGGTTGAAGGATCGTCCGGAGCAGGCCTTCCTCTACGCCGTCGCCGCATCTTTCGATTCGCTTATCCCAGTCGGTGCGTGAGGTCCGCCAAATATCTGTCTAGAGTTTATGTTCATCCGTCTGTCTACCATCCGCTTTATGCTACAATCGCAAACTCACCATGCACTTACTTCTTTCTTTGGTGTTTCACGAACTCCACATAACGGTGTTTAGCTTTCCGTCGTTTCGTAGCTGCTGAAGCACCTTTCCCCAATCGCACTTTCTCACCGGATGTTCAGTCTTTTCCTTCATTACTTGTTAGGCTGTAACCCGCCCGCTGTGTCACTGATAAATTTAACCGTAAACTGGCCCATTTTTTGGCAAACTGCTTAGGCAGTATTATATTTGAACTCGGTTGATTGAAATTTTTCGATAACTTAACTAGATACTTGACAGTTTCCTTGTCAAAGAGTGGATGAGGTCTCATCAGAAGTAAGCAGCGCATNGATGAGGTCTCATCAGAAGTATAGCAGCGCATCGGAAGAGGAATGCCAAGCCTTTATTTGCCTTCTCACTATGCCGCAGTTCTTTTGTTAGAAACAGTGACCAAAGGAACCCTACTGATTACTGCTGAACTCCAGTCCACGCCTCACCAACATCATGGTGTACAGAGAAATTTGACTACCTCCCAAACCATGTGAAACTTACGTGGAAACGAGCAAACTAAATATGATGTATGACACATTTCTCCACGTTCCAATTCGATTAACAGTCCCCAGACTTCTAACGTCATGCAAAAATGCGCTTGGAGGAGCTCTTAAACATAAATGATTTCTAAATAATACATTTCCAGGGTTGTTGTAAACTATTCTTTATATTCCAAAGTCCATAGACGGATCACTCATCAACCTTCAAGATCAGACAGGTCAGTCTCCATGAAGGATCGACCTATTCGTCTACTTAACAGTGGACTGCTCCGTGCTTTTCGCTGACATCCTATGAATCAAGTGGGCGGTGATGCTAGACTTCATTTACCAAGGATTCCAAAACTTTTCCTGTACAGTAAAACCTCTTGAACAAGAGAAAATCTCAGACAAGGAGCTAAAACTGTCACTAATGTAGAGTATTACTCTAGTTGGAGCTTCCATCCAAATATCAGCAACTCCAGCGAACTTATCAGCACTTAACAATTACCCAAATATGCCTAGTTACAAACGCTCAGTTAGTTGTATGCCAATATAACACTAATATGAAACTTAACTGAATGTCATATATATGATACTATTAGGCTAAATGTGCTGCCTTGTCCGAATACTCAAGACATTATATAGTTTACTTCTACTATGATTCTGCCTGTAATTGCGAAGCAATCGAATACGGAAGTCAGTTCATGGGTGCGTTTGCGCTCATGACGTACAAGAGCACACGAACGGTGAACCGGAGAGCTTCACTCAAAAGCACACGTGTCGCAATTTTAACACACGAAAATTGTCTTTTGAAAGCTCTCGCATCCATGCCTCTCCAAAGGGGAGCTCAGTTTTAAATAAAAATGCTGAAGATATGGAAAGTAGCATCATCAACCGAAACATAGTAGCTCATAATAAATATATTTTGCATACGATTACCTATTTCTGGGGGGCGGCACCGCAGTACCATCGCATCGGTGGCGGTAAATGAAATGAAATTCCTCTCCATAGATAAGATGGACCAATATATTATCTTCTGTTTTTGAATTCTTTCCGCTAGCCGACCGAACAAAAACTAAAGAAAACCCATGATGCATGTTCATAAAACGAAGTACAGTATGGCCGAAATTGAGGTCATGTGCGTAGGCTTTCTTATCTATGTCTCTTACGCACGACCCGATTGGATGTGCTGTGGTACGGCAATTGCGTTCCTTGAATTACCATTAGACATGTCACAAGAAATTGGAATTCAAGGTGGTGAGGGTTCTGTGGCAGAGTGGGTTTCTTGGTCGGGTCCGCTTCCTTGTCTCCTGAGCCACCGTGAGTCGCTTACGATTATGAGTATATAACCCCTGTGGGTAGAAAAACGATGCATCCCTTGTTAAACTTCAAGCAACATAATAAGAGTGAAAAATACTCATTCCAATCACACTGTCACCAGTAACTCTAGCGAGAGTTCTAAAGAATGGACTTGAGGGACATAGCAGAAATGTCCACAGGCGGGATGTATCTCATACAATAAAGTCCTGCGCACCTAATTTTCACTCTGAAACTTTCCGATTATTTAATCCTAACCGTTTTCACTAGAAAACTCTGGAGTGGAAGTATACCGAACATTTCAGTTTTCTACAGATTGTTTCGTCTTTCAGAAGGATGGGATGATTTTCATCCATAAATATGTATCTTCATCATTTGTCCCCTTTGGCGAGCTTCCTGGGCACCGACCCAATTGTTCTCAGCTTCCAAAGCCACTCGACTGACATTTCGCTCTGAAACCTGTTAACAAATGCTAACCATTTTCATGGTTTGACGCTATTGTCTTCCTGGCCCGACTGAGTAGAACCAATCTCATCTAATTTTCCTCTTTGTACTAATTCAGCGATTTCTTACACTGGGACAAGGATATGGTGTCGGCCTGGCTGTACGAGTTGGGGTTGGGTTATGCGGTACCCTGTGCAAGACGCTGGCTGCAACAAGGCGCTGACCTGGTGCGAGCGCCACGAAAATCCATTGAACAGGTAAGCCTTGATACTGTAAATTTGGTTTGAGTTTGTATAATAACGGATCGGGGAGTTTGTACGAATCACACAACTTGTAACTATGGGTTGTCCGGTCGGATTAATGATGGTTAACTGTGTGCAATCGCTTTTTGCCTTTCCTCAAAGGGACATCTCTTATTTGGTTCAGAGGGAACGATCGATCGATTGTCACACCAAACAGACTGCCTTTTCAGGAGAAAAGACGGATTAGAAAAGGTCTTTTCTAAGAACCGCATATTGTGATCATCCAATGGTTGAACGTGGTCTCCGGAGCGTCATTCGCTACGGTCGAAATGCTTTTAAAACCAAAGAGTCTACGCCACTAAGAAATGGTTGAACGTGGTCTCCGGAGCGTCATTCGCTACGGTCGAAATGCTTTTAAAACCAAAGAGTCTACGGCCACTAAGAACGCGCTTGACTTGTGCGGTCGCATTAGGAGTCAAACGGTGGTTACACCCTCCGTCCTTCAGCTAGACGAGCCTGCCACTGCTAAGTTGGTCCGACTACTGAGTCATAGGTTAGGGTAAGACACCGGAACAAGACCCCTCCCCCTCCCATTAACTTCTGGGTCAAACGTTTCTGTCACCCTAACTGTCTTGATCCTCAGTATTACTCTTGCCAATCTAACCTAGTCCTTTTGTGGCTCTATAAAACTGGTGTCGATTTTGAGCCGGCTGCTCAGCAGAACGGTTCCTGAGTTTCCACCAAGCTTATGTTCTACTTGTGCGTACCTAATGATCCCAAAGGAGGGCAAAACTGGTGTTTGGTTGGCTAAGAGTTTTCATAAACCTTCAAGAAAATATTCTGGATATATCAAATATAGTGATGACATCGAGACGGCCTTTATGCAGCGCATTCAGTTAAAGAATATTATAAACGAGAAATCCAGCTGAGATTCAGTTGAATACCCAGTTAAAAACCAATAGGTGCGCAAGTGGGTGTATATCTCAAGCAGGGTTCCGTTTGGATCGTGGAGCTATTCACCCCAACTTTGTTTCACAACTTTACGATTACTTCCCAAACAACGCCACCATACAGGAAGGATAACAGCTGCTTACCCCTCGTGGGCCTAAAAGGAATGTTCAAATCAGTTGACACGCTGCCTCGTATGAATGTCCATCTTTCAGCAGTGTCAGACGTTTTCGTCACAATTCTGCATTACTTATATTCCAGTGACTGTTGGCGCACGAAAGTCGTGGGGACATATCTTCACCTAAGTTGATCATCAAAAGAGGGATATCGTTTGTCCTCTTCGACTTTGTAAGTGAATTAAGTATCAAAGAAACTTTCACTAGGTTTGAGAGCTCCGGCTTGCGATTTCTTCTCTAGGAAATCCTTAATGCTTGGTTTTTGGGGACGACACTGAGCTACGTGTTCACACTTTATCCAGGTGTAAAACGCTTCATCATCATCATTATCAGCTGTAATAACGGCGTACTGGTCGTACACTGGTTGTAGCTGCCGCAGTTTCGGTCACCGATGATTTGGGGGAGGGGTTGGTAGCTGCGCAGAACAGGCGCGAGCTGGTAAGTTGGTGCATAAATCCAGCACTGTCAGTGGGCTGTCAAGTGGGGGGTTGGAAAAGGAGCTATGCATTGAAGGCAATAGCTTGGATGCACGA